TGTCTTTTCTGGTGACAACTATTTGTGTTATTACTAATTAGATGCCTGTTTTTTCTCTTTATCACGTCGACAGGATGAGAATGGTAGGTTTGAAACCTTTTTTACATCTTGTCGCTCAGTTACTTATCAATAGACTCATAATCCTTCCCTTCTTTCCTTTCTTTCTTAGAAAATTTCTTTATTGTTGATCGCTTAAAAGAACTAATAAAATACAAAGGCTTCCAGGTACCTTTTCGCTTCCATTTTCTTCTCTTCAGCCCCAAATCACAGCCTTATCCCTACGTAGAACAGTTTCTGACTAACCCGATCGATCTAGGTTGCCCCGGCCGAGCTTGAAGCCCTCCTGTTAACCCATCAAAGCGTAGCTGATGCAAGTGTTGTTGGTGTTTTTGTCGAATCGGAAGCGACAGAGTATCCTATTGCATATGTTCACGTCAAACCAGGCGTCGAACAGACCGATGAACTCAAGAAAGATATTCAAAAGCATGTTGCAGATAATGCTGCACCATGCAAGAAGCTGCGTGGAGGCGTCGTTTTTATTGATCAAGTGCCGAAGAGCGCGTCAGGAAAAATCTTGAGAAAACAGTTGAGGGCCAGGGCCAGTGAAGATTTTGCTAAGCTGAACCAATGAATAGGTATAAACAAAGAAGGCTGGAAAATATTTATTTATTATCCAGAATAATTGCAAACTAGTGTATTGTAAGCTCTTGTATTTGGATTCCAGTGATTCTGCTAGTATTTTAGTCTAAATTAATAAACACTTATTCGGCAACAGTCTCATAAGTTGATGTTTTTTCATTCACATACTTTTTCACTGCTCACGATTTATTGAAATAAAGAAGGCACATGGTAGATTCAAAGGCTGTTTATTAGAGTGAAGTTATACCTTAAAGTTGTTGCGATACTTCTGACAGTAAAACTAACAAGTCGTAGCACTGGAAGAAGAGTGTCCAGAAATGGTTGTAGATTCAATGCAAGGTTGATGTCGAGGAATATTATTGTATTCGCCTACGCGGCTATCACACTCCCTTAGTCGATGTATATCAGGCTATAGAATTTTCTATTGCATCAATCAATTAGTTGTGTTTTTCATCGTCAATTTCTCAATTCAAATAATTTATTAATAGTCCAAAGAAGAAAAGACGCGAAATAAATATATAAAGTTCTCTATCGAAGCTGTCTTTATAATCCGAATTAAGCCAGTCTTTGTAACTAATTACGGTCTTGGTAGTAAATACTGAGCTTATGAACTGTTTTTTGCGCAGCAATTAGGCAAAATGCTTAAATTGACTCATACTATTCTAAGTAATAAGTCTTCTATGAGAAAAGCGAGCGACAGGATACAATTAACTAGCTAAATCCGCGGGTCGAGAAATTTAAAATATCAATATCTCTCGAGCCATGTTCATACTAGAAAAACGTGTCTCGAAATACTGGTAATAATTCACGTAAATGCCAAACAAAAAGTCTGGCTCCTGTGTTTTTACGTGATTTGTATAAATTAGAATTTTACTGATACTCACTGTAAGTCTCATATTTAAGTTCCGATAAAAAACTTAGTTCCAAAAAAGGTGCAGTATGCTATGTGAGTAACTTGTAAAAGAGCTTACAGTATACTAATACTGTTAATTTGCCGTTTAAATGAATAAATCCAATATTAATATAGAATATGTCTGCTTTGTATTGTTGTTAACAACAGAATTTAGTAAACATCAACTGATATAAGCGAATATCCCGGAAACAAAAATTTATAAAGCGAACGGAATATTCCTATGTTTTGAAGCTATTCATGCGCCCAAGAGGAAGTTTACGTTCCTAAAAACAATCTAGCTACCATTACATGACATAATAAAAGTAGTTGATACACTGACCATAACAACCTACAATACATATCCAATCTAAACTAAATATGCCACTACCGTTGATTCTTGTCAAATAACTATTTATTTAATGTCTCTATATTTTATAACTACAGATAAATGTCATCTCTCTGGTAAACGCTGACACAAAGTTCCACACCTACACGAACTTGGCTAAGGGCCATTGGTAAAATCTACAACACAGGTGGTCCATAACTGGTAATCTTCACAATTTGGGCCACCCAATATATTTGGGTAGTGAACCATCTGCTGGTTTAGCAGAATTTGAAATAATTGTTTGTCATAATATTCACAAGAAAAATCTTTATGAACAAGCCCAAAAAGCAAAGCTCGAATTAAAGTTTCCCACAACAATTAATTGTGCATAATTTCGAATTTTTTATCTGCAACTCCCCCTTTTCATCTACTTCATCCACCATATTCTCTGCATCCGAAAAGATATACTGGAGGCTTCCAACAGGCAAACCTCAAAAACGAGAAAAACCTTTTGATTCTATCCAAGATTACCAAGAAATCGACATCTTTCCTACAAATGATCAAAATCTTCCTAAAATAAACACCAGATGATCAAGCCATAGTAATAGATCAACTCAATCATCAAACACACTACCTTCAAGCAATAGAACAAAAAAAATCACTGACCTAGCATCATATAAACTGAATTTGTCTTTTCTGCTATTTTACACCACACGACCACATCTAATATTAGAGGGGCGCAGCCCCTCAAATACAAATTTCTAGCTAAATTTTTAATTTACCGACAATGAACACTATCTACATTTAAATCCTAATAGAAAGTCGGCTATCGAAATATCATTTTCTTCTCAGCTTTATCATGAGCTCAACTATTACTGCACACCCAAATCAAAATCCATTTACTAACATTGCTATAAACGACATAATAATAATGCCGAAGACCAATATTATCGTACAACATAAAAAAATCATACATCGCGAACATTATATCCAACTACTTAACCCACACCAAATTGCCTTCTCTTAGTGCTTACAGGTCTAAACATAGGCGGTTCAACCATACATTCAGCTATACAAATATCCACTGACAGAAGCTGGATACCAAACTACGACAAGGAGTTCAATAGTCAATTAGCTAAAATTGAAGCACTTGCTATTGATGAAATTTTGACGGTCTCAGCTTCTCTATTAATTTTCTTTCAAACTTGTTTGCCAACAGCACTCAAGCAGGAATGTTATTGTTGTAGGAGATCTGGCACAATTTCTCTGTATGTAGTCAACACATTTATTTACCCATTTTCCTTTAGTCAACAAAAATTTGGTAATACTTTTAACGAAACATGAATCTGCTTACTAAAAAGGCAAACAATTATAAACCTTACCTCTTTCATATTCATAACCATTTACTCATATAAACAACGGCTGATCAAATAAATCATATCATAATTAATACCGTATTTCTACTAAAGTGCCAGTGGTATTTTACAAAACCGTACAATGCATGGAGTGGTACTTTGATCGGATAATGGTATTATACTAGGGTGGTATTATGATAGGGTGGTATTATGATAGGACGATGTAAATCGCTATTTTATTGGTTGTAACGTATTTTGCATTTACGGAACACGAATAAAATTTGCAACATCTTGCTTGTTTTAAATGATTCGAAAGGCACGTATTACATGTAAACAGCGTCGTTCTGGGTGTTCTAGAGAGGAACATATGATGACATAATAAGCATGTTTAATAATAAACGCTGTACCATGGTATTTTACATTCCATGAACTTCAAAATGGTGGGATAGTGGGACGGTAATTCATTCTCGTTGAGAATGATAATTTATGAATTAACAGTGTCCAATCGTTTCCTTGCTAGAACGTATAATGTAAAAGGATTTTCAGTTAAAATCTTACAGTTAAGTGTACATTCATAAACGATGCGTTTTATTCTCATTACTTTAATTGAAAAGGGTATCTGCAACGGAACAATCGGAATTGTTACCAATTTGGCAATAAAACATTATCAGTTCATGCAACATTTTGTTACAGGATGGAATAATACACGTACACCTCGCTACACATCTTACTTCTATGCACCAGCCGGAACCAGTATCGCATACCAATTCCAGAACATAAGACGTAAGCGCGCAACATTACCGAATGTGTTAATTCAGGATAGTCACATGTTCGCTTACATAGCTACATGAATATTGTAATTGAAGAGTATATCCGTTTGCAAAATAACATTTACCACAGGATGCTGATATTCGTACAAATGTATCTTTGAAGTAAAAAAATAGTTTAGTTTAGAAAATTTTTAATTACGTACGTAATAGTAATACACAATATCTTGATTATATTAAATACTTTGACCCTGACTCTTTGGTGTAGAAACTAAACAATTACTATACTGATTGAAGCATTTTCTTGCTTGTCATGCTTCGTCCGGTTGACACAATCGACCAGGCGAAGCACGATTGGCCTGGTTTAGTATGAAGAATAAATAGCCAATGGGTAATTGACAGAAAACAATGAAAATATTAACATTAATTAGAAGAAAAACTTCTACAATCAATAAAATTGACGATTTTGTTTGCTAGTCGATATGCCAGAAGCAAGATCATAAGATTAATGAAACGAATATTTAACTAAATATTGGAAATGCAATAATAAAACGTAGCATGCATTTCACAGTGGTAATAGGTAAAACTCTTACTTTAGCAGTTTGGTAATAATACGTACAAGGCTGTAGTAGCATATATTACAAGATTAAGTTTTTGTCATCTGGCTGCCGATAACAATAAGATAGTCATGACTGCTAACTGAATATTAAATAATATGAAGAGAGGCTCGTTTACTAGAGCGGTTGAGAATAAGAATTCTTTAAAAGGTACGTCAAGTCTTTTTCTAATAATATACTCTCTAACTACGAGTCATCGTTGGTTGCTGCTACATTCTTTTTTCTGAAAAAGAGTGATGGCATTCTTCCATCATGCGAAATAAGATCAAGCGATAAAGCAATGATCTGCATATTTTATCCGTACTACAGTACTAAAAGGAAGGCTGTTTTTAAATGAGCTATAATACAGAAGAGTCGCTGTGAGTATACCACATGCTTACGTTTTTCTGCCAACAACGGATTACATGTTTTCGAGTCATTATTACTGAATTGCTTTCCCCTTAGAAAACTTACTTTATCATCAATAATACAAATCGCCCCAGCAAGATGACAAATATATTGTGCATTGATTGGTTGATTTTGTGGTTGTGTTACATTCACATTTAATACCCCCATCACAAGCACAACAAACAGGTTGGCGAAGATTCTGCTCACAGCAATTATATCATTGACGCTAGTTGAGCTTTGTATATCGATTTTCTAGAGATGGCAGAAGTTATTGTAAGTTATTTTACGCTTTATGAAAATGCCTCACAACATTTAGTACACAGTACGAAACAATATCAGATTTGTTTATTATTATATAATAAACGAGAAAAAGAATTCAAGTGCAGTCTTTTGATTGTTTAGACAGCCATCAGCTTCACAGTCAGTCAAACTTTACCAAGTCCATCGTAACTAATACATTATTCCATATTTTTATTATGTCAGAACAACGGTAAATCGTCAGAAAACCTGAGTGCGATTCAATTGAGGGAGCAAGTGATCAAATGCTTAGAAGCAATTACCAACAACAATGACAGAAGGCACCACTTTATCAGATTGTATACCTTGTTATTGACAACTGATGATAGTTTGGATAGTGATCTATTGGAAA